CTAGGATTTAATCCTTGGCCCCCTGAATCATTTGAGTTGGGATGAGACTGACTTCTTATTTCAATGCTAATAAGGTCTTTCTTGTTCACCTAATCTAACATATGTGAAAAACAAAACACTGCTCAGTTCTGTTTAGAGGGTGATGAAATTGGCATGCCTTCATACTCTGCTGGTGGGAGTGTAAATAAATTGCTTCATCTTTTATGACACCTAAGCCACACACATCAAGAACTTTATACTTGTTTTAGTAATTTCACTCCTGGGAAGCTATCTTTAGGAAAACACCATGGTACAAAGATGCTATATACAAAGATGTTCATCTTAGTGGTACTTAGAAGGAAAATTTCAAATCAAACTGAAAGTAAAACAATAGGAGAATGGTTAAGTGTATATAGTTAATACCATAACATTTAAGACTATGTAATTAAGCTTTTTTTAGTGATGATATAGGATGGTTTGTTCATGGTAGTGATATTTATAGATGGTAGTAGTTCTGGAAAATTGCAATTGCTAGATTAGGAACTCAAAACTTTACAGTATCTTCCACTTTCTACCCCCACAGTGTCAGAGATCAGTGGTTTTTACTCTGCTCTCTGACCTCACTTACTATATGAGAATCATCCTTTTAGAAATATTTGGAGAGTGTTTAGAATAAGAGTTTACATATTAATGTGGCTAGAACACTGGTTCTAATGCTTCTTTATGTAGGAAACTAAGCTGCCTTTGTTAAATTTGTTTTAATGAGCTGGATTCTTGAGATGTTTTCATTTAAAAATGTAACAATTAAAAATAGCTGATCCTCGTTCACTATTGAACATGTATTATGTTAATCATTGTTTTTCTTTTAAGTTTCTGGTCTCTCCACCAACAAAAGTTTGAATGTGGTCCAACATTTGGAGATGTTTGGGCCCATTCTTCCTCTTTTTAAGAATAAAAGTACTTGCACTCAAAAGCCTGTGCTTTCATTTGGAAGTTTATGAATTGTTTTTTAAAATGTAGTCATTAGTTCCAATTTCTTTCTGTCAGATTTCTTAAACTTTAATACAGTTTCTGAAAGATTTTTTCAAAGGAAGTATTTTTACCTTCCCAAGTCTCTAGATTCCTGCTGTCTCCTCAGTCCTGTTTATTAAACTCTCAGCTGGTTTCAGAGTTCATGCATTTCCTCTCTTTCTTCTCTAACTATGGCTAAAAATTGGCTCCAAAGATCACCTCCTATCCTAACTGCAGGGTCTCTGCTGCTGCTGCTCTGCCTCCTTGAACAACAACTTGTCACAGCACATATCTTATAGCTGTCAAAATCCTATTTTTCACACCTCATTATTTAGGGTTTGAGCAGGACTGGGGCAAAGTTTATTCTTGTGCTGTTTGGGAAGACTAGGTTTGCTAAAGGAATAATGTAAACAAGATTTCAGTAGAAACATTTGTTTTGGAAACAGTTGAAGATATAATAATTCTTTACAAATAGATTTTATCACTCACCTTCAATTTACCTATCTACCATACAGAGGCTTATGATTATTTATTTGTAATGTTTATGAATACTTTTGTTATAATTCTTTTGTGTGTGTATGGTGCTGGGGATTGAACCCAGGGCCTTGTGCTTGTGAGGCAAACACTCTTTGTCAACTGAGCTATATCCCCAGCCCACAATTATGTCTTTTTTAAAAAAAAAATCTTTAAAAAAATATATATATTATTTGTAGTTGGACACAACACCTCCATTCCATTCATTTATTTTTATGTGGTGCTGAGGATCGAACCCAGGGCCCTGTGCATGCTAGGCGAGCTCTACCACTGAGCCACAACCCCAGGCCCCCCACCACCACAAAAAATTTTTATTTTATTTATTTATTTTATGTGGTGCTGAGAATCGAACCTAGGGCCTCACATGTGCTATGCGAGCGCTCTACCATTGAGCCACAACTCCAGCCCCACAATTATGTCTTTTAATGAAACAAAGAAAAGGAAAGAGAATTAGGAGAGGGAGAGAGAAGGACAGTAAGAGTATATGTGTGGTATCTATTTTTTATTTACCATTTCTTGTCCTTTTCATTTGTTCTTGTGGATTTGAATTACCATTTGGTGTCATTTCCTTATTCCAAAGCAATTTTATTCCCACCTGTGTGCTATGCTTTTTGTTATTATTGTCAAATAGCTTACATCTCTCTATATGTTATAAACTCCAAAATATGGATTGTATACATCCTTTTCTACATTTAATTTTTAAGTTGGTTAAGAGAAGAAAGGAAAAGAAATTTATGATCATACTGCATTTTATAATTGCCTACGTAACTACTTTTATTAGAATTTTTTGTCTACTCTCAATTTCTTCCATTCTAAAGAACTTCCTTTAGCATTTTTGTAAGATAGGTCTACTAGCATAAATTTATCTCAGATTTTGTTTATCTGGAAATGTCTTTGTTTGATCTTCACTTTTTCAGCCTTAATCTTTTGGAGGGGGTACTAGGGATTAAGCTCAACCACTGAGCCACATCCCCAGCCCTATTTTGTATTTTATTTAGAGACAGGGTCTCACTGAGTTGCTTAGTGCCTCCGTTTTTGCTGAGGCTGACTTTGAATTTGCCATCCTCCTGCCTCAGCCTCCCGAGCTGTGTGCCACCGCACCCAGCTGAGACTTTACATTTTTTAATGTCTTTATTAAAAAGAATTTTTACTAGTTATGGTTATTTTTCTGAAGATAGAATTTGAGAAGCTTTTCACACCTCCAGCCCAGCTTAATTAGGTTTGTTTCTTCAAAGGTATTTTACCTTCTGTACCTCACTGATCCACACAGCCCTTTCTTTCCTCCCTCTCAATCTGAAATAGGAGGGCTTTTACCATGGACTTAACCAATTTCAGATAAAAGAAAAATATTTTAACTTCTGAATTTATAAATGGCATTTATTTTAGCAACATGGTTTTCCTGGCATGGGTGAGGGAGAAACTTGTCTCTAACCTATCAAAACCTACTAGTTTGCTGGCTAGTTTGAGTCTCTTTAAGAATTCAAAAGTGTTGCAGGGAGGGGAAGGGTCTTTGTTCTTTTGGTACAGGCAGTTCCTGCTGATGAAGAAGTAGATCTGAGCCACCTTCCTCAGCAATCACCCCCACACACCTTAATTCTTGAGCCTTCTATTTATAACACTGGCACTTGTATTTTGAGGGGGTTAATGCCAATAGCTGGTACCCACAGGGATGGTCACCAGCTACAGCTTTGCAGCAGGTTCAATATTCTCAGAAAACCCTCTTTTCAGGGATAATGCAATATGAGAAAGTTTAATCTAAAATGTTGACCTGTTTTCGTATGGGTTGGGAGCTAAGAATAGATTTTTACTTTTTCATTTTTATTTTTTTACCCTTTTAAATGGTTGGGAAATATGAAAAAAGAAGATTATTTCAGGACATGTAAAGATGTGAAGTTTGAATTTGTGTCCATATATAAAGTTTTGTGGACACATGGCCACGCTTGTGTATTTGTGTATGGTCTGTGTCTGCTTTTGTGCTACAACAGCAGAGTGGAAGAGTTGCAAAAGACACTGTGAGATATGAAAGGCCAAAATATTGATCATTTGGCCCTTACAGGAAGTTAGCTGACCTGGTCTAAAATGTGTTTTAGTGGAATAATACCAGTAATTTCTTTTAACAAAATATTTTAGGATTCAAAATGTGTCATAACATGGCTGTAGAAGCCCACTAATATCCAAAAGAGAGAGGTTTCAATACAATTATTTATGTCTTAAGTTAGGATAGAAATGTCTTCCTCTAAGCAGATCTTATTCAAAAGTAAAACTTCTTAAATATATATTTCATGTCATTGAAACTAATTCCCCCATATTGTAAGTTTTCTAAAGTGGGCTGTTTGATCTGAGATCATGATATTCAGACAGTTTTCTGTGTAGCTAATGAATTTGTTTTTAATTTAGAAGAAAATTTAGTTCTTATTCTATGTCCCATTCTTGGAAAAAGAAAAAATATATCTGTCTATATTATGTCAAAACTACCTAGATACCTCCGTTAATTCATCTGACTTCTTACATTTTTTTAAACTGAACTATTTCTGGCATCATATAAATTCTTCATGTAGAAATACAGGGATTTAAAAGTCTGAAATTTTAAGTTAGTTGCATTTTATGATAGTGTAGGCAAAAGATTGATGATGATATAAGAGTGTTGTTAGAGAATTATATTTCAACCTTCAAATGTGCTAAAAAATTGAGCATAGATATAATGCTATTTAAAGATGCTTATGCTTTATAAAGAATTATGATTTTTAGTCAAACTATAATTATTCCATAGAAAAAGTATATTGTTTTACCTATTATTAAAGGTAATTTGAATTTGAATTTTTTATAAAAAAACTTCAATGGATCTTTTCAAAAGATCTCTAAGACTAATCATAGTTATTAATATATGCTTCCCCAGGGCTGGGGTTGTGGTCTCAGTGGTAGAGCACTTGGCTGGCATATATGAGGCATTGGGTTTGATTCTCAGCACCACATATAAATTAACAATTTTTTAAAAATATATGCTTCTCCTAAATTTTTATTAAACAAAGTTTATATTTCACCTGTATGAAATTATCAGATTATCAAATAATACATTTTCATATATGTTGAAAGAAAAATGATATGCCATATTATAATCCTTGGTTCTCACTGGGTTCAAGTCCTTCTGGTTTGAGGGCCATAAAATGAATCAATTGATTTTTATTTTTTTTTAGACTTCCAACTCTAACATTTCTGCCAGTGAAATTCATAGACATTTACAGGTCAGCTCAGCATTTGAAACCAAATTTCTGTCCTATTATTTAAATGATAGAGCTTTTGAAATTGAGAGGTTTCCTTTTTTATGTCTAATAGGTTTGTAGTGATATTGCATAATTTGTTGTTCATATTGAAATATCTTTTTCTTCATATCCCACCAGGTCCTACCTGCTCAAAGTCACAGCTATGCTTCTGCAACAAGTACTTTCTGGATCATTTTTGTTTCTCTTTTTTTCCAGGCATCTAGTGGAAATTATTATTTCATCCCCTACATTGTGACACCATGCGCTGATTATTTTTGCTGTGAGAGTGACGCCCAGAGGCGAGCCTCGGAGTACATGCAGCCCAACTGGGATACCATTCTGGGCCCGCTGTGCATGCCCCTGGTGGACAGGTTCATTAGCCTCCTCAAGGACATCCATGTGACCTCATGGTAATTCTTACCAGCCACCAACATCCCTGGGAGCCTTGTAAAAATTTCCCTTTCCTTTCAGAGAGGTGGTATACCTTGAAATTACCAGTATGCCCAGAGAATAAGGAGCATTGGTCAGTCATTTAAAAATCATCCTGGAATCCAGCCTCACTAATCTGAGTCACTGAGGTAAAGCCAAAAGAGAATAGAACTGGAATTAGGAGGTCAGAATTGGGCCTGTGTCTGCTGCTGACTCCCTGTGTGACCTTGACATATACCTTCTCTTCTCTGTGGCTGTTTTCTCCTCTAGGAAACAGGGAAGTTAAATCAGTGATTTTTATTTTTAACCATCTATTTCAACTTGGAGATTCTGTTTCATGATCATTTCTGAGCATGATTTTACATTCCCTTAGTTATGGGGGTTCTTAAAATGCCCCAACAAGGTCATTCTGACCTTGAGTTCTCATATTCTTGAGAACCTACATATTTTCCTGACTTTAGGATGTACTGTGACATGTTTTCTTTGAGATTTGTATCAGAGGTAGTATGCACTACTCACTCAGGTAGAAAGGTTTGAATGTAAGTCCTGGTAAGATGATTCCTAGCTGTGTAGCCTGGGAAAGGTCACTTCCCTTCTTTGAGTCTCAGTGCTCAGGAAACTGTACCTTCAGTGTTCTACTCTAAAAATTAAAGGCAGAAAAATTATTCTTAATCAAGCAATCCAGTTGTTTTGCTTGAAGCCAATTTAAAGGATTTATTCCTGTAAGTTGTGTCACAAGGAGGAGGATTTGTACTTCCAAAACAAATGAAAATCCAAAGGACTGGCAGAACTGGCTTGTAATGAAATGTCAAGGACCTCATGTCATATTTTGGCCCAAATCATGGCACCTTGAACCATAGAGGGTTACTACTGAAATATTGGCATGAAGTTCATATTTTGTTCTCCTTTTCTATGCCATTGCCTCTTTTTTGGATACAGACTTTGTTTTAGAGACTAGTGGGGAAGAAGACTGGAAACCTAGACACATGTGACCATATGCCAACACAAAAAGCAAATGGCAAACTTTTTGTGACACAGTCCTAGCAAACCTCATTCAGTTTTACTTTGCTAACTTTTGTCTAATTGCAAAACAAACATTTTAGTGATGTTTAGGGAGAAAGTTCTCCCAATATCATATTTTCAGGTCTGACAAGGAGGTCGGCTAACTTGAATCTTCCAGATGAGTCATACCTTTGCAAGAAATGGGTTCAAGTTTGTTTCTCATTCGGTGTATGTATGTATTGGGAGGAAAAGAACTTTTTTGATTTGTTTTAATTTCCAAGGGCTTGAAATGCCTATTAGTGGATTCCACCCCACAGTTGGCTGGAGTCTTGACAATAATGAGACAGTAAATGGTACTTGTGATTGCAAACATCTGTAATCAGGATGGCAGGTAAGTTTTAAGCTCATGTGCCAATTCCGATAGATTTATAAAGTATCTTGAGTCCTGTGCTATAAAGGGCTTTGAAGCCATTTCCAAGTTCATATTGATTAGCAACATCTTCCCTGGTTGCCAGAGGCAGAAATGGCTGCATGATTATTACTTATCTGGAGTCCCCAAACCATAATCAAGTCAGTGTTTTATTTACCTAAAAGTTACTGTTCTTATTAGATTTCTTCATTTATTAAAACTATTTTTCAGAATTACCCTAGAAAACAAGACTGAAGTATAACTTTTTACTATCAGGCCAAACTAATAACACTTTAATAGCTTTCATGCCTTTATAGTCTACCAAATGGGCAATGGCTGTCACCCAGTTTAATGACTCATTCAATTAATGACAGAATTTTAAACACCGGCAGAGTTTTCTGATTTGCTCATCATTGGGGTAATAGCAGTTGACAAATAAGGAAATAAAAATGAAAGCATTGCACTAATATTTTTACATCAAAACCCTTTCTGTGGGATATCACTTCATTCTTTAAATGTTAATTGAGGTCTTATTATAAGCATTGGACCAGGCTGTGTAATATATGCACATTTTTATGGCATAGTTTTATAATTATTCAAAATAAGTATGATTTGTTCTTATTCGATCTTGTGTTGTTTCTCTAGGAAAAATGATTTATCCTACTGTCTTTTTAAAGAAAGAGCTTAATTTTTCTCTCTACAATTAAATCATTTCAGCTTCTTAATGGGTTGGCAGCATTACTGCTTGGCAGTGCTCATTCTCTGTTTAAAAATTAATTGGAAAATAGGCAAGATATTTAAATCAATCTGTGGTCATTGTAAGTTGGCCTCTGTACACCAAATTAGGTTGTTTTTCAAGGTTTTATTCCAAGTATCAGATACTAGCATTGACTCTGTAAGAGGCTATGGGCACATTAAGTGTGGATTTAAACTGTTTTAAATTTTTTTACATATCCACATTATTATCTAGACACCCTCATAAAGGAGATTTTTATATTTTACATTAGAATAACATTATGGCAGTCAAATAAGACAAGGGAAGTGGGGGGGGGTGAAACGCAATGTTTTCTGTAAGCTTCCTAGCATGGCTTCTGTGTACCCCCTTTGGATTGCTTGGGGACATGACACCAGTTTCCAGCTGTCCTTCAACTAGTGAAACCTTCATGACTACTAACTGGGGACACTTAATAAATGAGAATATTTTTTAAATGAATTTCTGTGTATTTTATGGCTCTTGGAGTTTTGTTTGGCTTTGTGATTATCTGTTGCTGGTAGGGAAAAATAAATATTCAAGTAAGGTACCATCTTGCCTTCTATGTGGTTCAAAATACCAGAGGAAATAGATTGAGCTGTATAGAAAGTTCTGTATATTGTTTGAATATTTCAGCTTTGAGAATATTTTTAAGGTTGTAATGAGCTGGTTTTTATTTGTTAACATTATTGGCTCATTTGGCAAAATGTGAATAACAAGTTGAAGTGTCTTTAGTTTGCTGCATGAGGAGGCTCGGGTCTGGGCCAAGGTCTCCATGTGTTAGCCTCAGTCACATAAATAAGAACCATATTTGTTTGAGTGCCGAGGAGGAGGGTCCTGGATGCACATAGTCATATCTATATGACTGGAGGTTTTCCTGTTCCCCTGTCTAGTGTTTATTACAAAGAAACCTTGTTGAATGACATCCGGAAAGCCAGAGAGAAATACCAGGGTGATGAACTGGCAAAGGAGCTGGCTCGGATCAAACTCCGCATGGATAATATTGAAGTTCTGACATCAGACATCATCATTAATTTACTCCTGTCCTACCGTGATATCCAGGTATGAAATGTGCCTAACTGAGGCTAGCATATAGCAAAATTTTTCTTGGCATGAGGAACTCCTCATGTGAGTGTATTCTCACTCAGTGTATGGTGTATTCTCACTAGGTGTATTATTTTACTAAGTGTATGGTGAAGTAGCTATTTTATATAAATGGATCTGTGACCAGGTCAGAGGTCATCCAGCTTATCTATCAGGGTGAGAGTTTTAGAGAAGGGTTTTTCATATTAGGGCTGGTGTGAATGCTCCAACAAGAGACCACATATATGGCACTGCTTAGTATAAGGAATTAATAATTTAACAGTTTATATATACTTTATGCTACGCATAGTTCCAAGCCTTTTGCTAATCCTAAATTAATTCACTATTCTTAACAAATCTATGGTATAGGTTTATTTTGTTGATCCCCATTTTTTGGAGGGGGGATACTGGGGATTAAACTCAGGGGCACTCAACCACTGAGCCACATCCCTAGCCCATGGTACCACATCCCACAAGCCCTGTCTCAAGAACTCTTCAGTAGCTTCTGAGGTCTGTTTTAGACTAAATATCTATATTCTCTGAAATATAGATTCTCTGAAAACACAGTAGCCATTTCCTGGTTGCTAGGCTTAATTTTTTCTGCCTTTGGATGAGTGGTGGTAAAAAAGTAACAAAGGCCTAAAGGACATAGCAGAGCAGAGAAGATAAGAAGGACGATGGAGTCAGTCAGCCTCAGTCTAAATCCTGACTTCACTAACTGCTGTGTGACTTTGGGTAAGTTATTTAATCTCTCTGTGCATCATTTTCCTCATTTTTTAAAATAGTTAGTATAAAATAGGCCTCAGAAGCTACTGGAGAGTTCTCAAGATGGGGCTTGTGGGATGTGGTACCATGGAGGAAAATCAGCATTTCCTCTTCTGAATGTAATGCCTTTGAGACATTCCTAAGGGAGTCTGCCTCCCTTTTCTGTGGCACACGGGGTAATGTACAATACTTATAGACTCCTATAAAGCTACATTGGAAGTTGTTGGCCATGTTTCTTTAAATCTAAATAATGGAGATATCCATTTATGCCTTGGACCAAGAAGAGTCAACTGCTAAGGAACTCATACCTCTAGTGATGAACAGATGCAACTAACTGATTTTAGTAGCAGGTGCCATTAGGGATTGTGATAATGATTAAAGCATGCACCATTGGCCAAGGATTAACCTTTCTTGAAGGTTTTCTTCCCTTGAGTTCCTGGCTTCTGCCTTCCTTCTGCCCTTGCCTTCAGGTATTATCACTTTATTTCTTCTCCTTTTTTTTTTTTTTTGTATCCCTTCATTTCTTAACCTTTCATTGATGGGCCTCTTGGGCTCAAATGTGAGCCAAGAGATCTGAGGAATCCACTACTGTCTTCTCTTTCCTAGGCCAGTAGTATCAAATGCAGAGCCATAAGGCAGGTTTGGGATTTTAGTAGGAAACCCTCCTCTTCAACCATAGCTGGCAGCAAGTTGGCTAATACCAATGATTGTAAGCCTGGCTAAAATGTTAACTGGTAGCGCTACTAAGAGGGGACCCAACTGAGACACACATGGTAGCAATTTTTTCCTAGATGATTATGTAGCATTTAGACCAGTGGTTCTCAACCAGGAAGCATCTGATAGCATCTAAACACATTTTAGTTGTCAAAACTGTGTGTGTGTGTGTGTGTGTGTGTGTATGTATGTATGTATGTTTTGCTAGCTTCTAATGAGTAGAGGCCAGAAATGCTACTGCCTTTCCTATAGTGCACAAGTCAACATCCCACAATAAAGAATATTCTGGTTTAGATTAATTTGACTGATTATGATGAAACAAGAAGGGCTAAGGTATTTTTTCCCTTTACATGGGAAGTTAACTGTAGATTTTCTTATGTGTATGTCTAGCTCATTTTAAAATAGCTTTTCTGGGTGGTTTTAATCCTTTTCCACTGAAAACACAGTAGCCATTTCGTAGTTGCTAGGCTCACTTTTTTTTCTGCCTTTGGATTTAACAGTTTTTCCTCAATCCCTTTGTCCTCTTTGGTAACAGGAATTTCTTTTCTGCCCTCTCTCTCTCATTTATCTTATTTTCTGATTTTTTTTTTTTGTTCTAGTGAAGGTTACAAGTAACTTCACTAAACACTCCATGCAAGGAAAGTTTTGTCCTAAAATCTAGAGACTGGCTTATGTTTATAACTATTCAGAAAAATCTACAAAGACCTGTTTCTTCTCTTTTTCACCTTGAGATCTCTCACCAACAGGACTATGATGCGATGGTCAAGCTGGTAGAAACTCTGGAGATGCTGCCTACATGTGATTTGGCTGATCAGCATAACATTAAATTCCACTATGCATTTGCAATGAATCGGTAAGAATGATAATGTATGTGTAGGGTTCCCCCCCCCATACCAGTGATTGAACCCATGGCACTTAACTACTGAGCCACATCCCAGCCCTTTTTTGTATTTTATTTACAGACAGGGTCTCACTGAATTGCTTAGGGCCTATGCTAAGTTGCTGAGGCAATTCTCCTGCCTCAGCCTCTTGAGCCACTGGGATTATAGGAGTATGCTACCATGCCTGGCTGTGTAGGATTTTGAAACATGCTACCTATTGAATTCTGCTTCCTTCTTTTGTTTAACATTCAAGTATAAGCCAGGTCATGTGCTAAATGCCAAGGTCACGGAGATAGGCAAGGCACAATCTTCCTTCAGGGACTTAGTCTTTGGAACATGTATTCTAGCTGTGAGATCAGACACGTAAAAAAAATCCTAATAGCTCAAGGTGGTACATTGTTTAATGAAAGTTTGTCCAAAGTGATAAGGAAGTATAGTAGAGGGAGGGAACCATTCTACTTGGGGGTTTTAGAGAAGCTTATTCGCGGGGATGGTGAAAACATTATTCCATTTGGCCAGACCAGAGTATGAGCATAGAGTTCTTCATACACAAGGTGCCTTCAGGGAACATCCATTGAAACTAGAACACAAGATGCAGTGTGGCAAATTTAGGTGATGAAGCTGAGACCATGGATGGAGGATGGGACCACGTCTTGAGAGGACTTTGCATGCGTGAATAAGGAGTTGATATTATCTTGTAGACTGTGGATGACTAGTTTAAGTGACCGGATTGATGTTGTATGTAAGGAGAAAGAACTTGGGAATTCAAACTTCTGGGCTAAGCAGAGTGTGAAACTTGGAAATTCATGCCTGGAGATCATAAGCCTCAGAAACTTCACTGGTAAGGTATTAGCTAAGATTATATAACAAAAAAGCCACAAATGCAGTAATTTAAATTAGATTGAAATTTCCCTTTCACGTGGCAGGCTAGAGTGAACCAGCCTAGCACCCAGCCCTGTTTCAGGAGTTGTTAAAGCACTTAGCATCCAACTACTGTAGCTCTTTTCATCCCCTAGAATGTTGGTCTTATCTGCATAGTTGAAGCTAAGTTACTGCCACTCAGTGTTCCACCCCGACTCCATTCCATAGGTAGGAGAGGAAACCCAGGGCAAGTCATTTCCTTTAAAGCAAGTAGAATTTACACATGCCACTTCTATCACATTCCATTGGTGAGCACTCAGTCATATGACTCCATTTAATTACAGGGGAAGCTGGTAAGTGTAGTTTGTAGCAAGGTAGTCATATACCCAGCCAAACTTGGCTACTATGGATTTGCAGGATAACTAGAAGTTTGCCACATTCAACCTCACAAGGCTCTAGATGCACTTAAATGTCTTTAGTTCTACCTTCTCCCTTTCTCTGTTGATAATCTATAGGAAGAGAAGCAGCATTAGGTGAATATCATGAGAACCATGATATTCCTTATTGGGCCTGAGCTGGGAATTAATTATGTCAAATCATACAGCAGAGTAACTCTGGGAGGGTATTCAAACTTATCTTGAGAGCCAGAGAGTTCTGGCACCTCCTTATCAACCTTCCATAACTGATGTCTTCAACAGGGAGTGAACGAGATGAGGGTTGAGGATGAACTAAGTTAGAGGACTGCTGTATTGGATTTCCCAGTTTCAGAGACTATGCTTTGCCTCAGCAGTTGAATTGGGCTATAGGTTGTTGACTTGCCATTGGCAGTTTCTGCAGGACATCAGCAAAATAAGAGCTTATGGCTTTTTGAACCTTGTAATACATGTGAGGTCACACTTCTCTCTCTTAAATCAAGGCAAAATTTATGATCACTGAAATGCATAGATCTGAAGTGTATAATTTGATGAGTCTGACAAATGAATACACACATGTAAATAACACCCCAATCAAAATAGAAAATATTTCCATCACTCCAGAAAGAAGTTCCTAGTGTTCTTTGACAGCAGCCCTCACACTTTTATAGGTCAACCACTGTTGTACCTTCTATCTTCATAGGTTAGTTTTGCTTGTCCTTGAACTGTTATCACTTATGAGGTTCTTGGAAGAAAGCTTAGCACACGGTAAGTGCTATAAAAATTGTCTTATTAAATAAAAACTGAGAGCCGTGTAAGTTATTCATTGCCATGTATTTTCCCCAGACAGAGTAGAGGTTAACTATTGTCAGAGAATGAAACAATTGATTACTGTCCTCTCAAGAGAATAAAAGAGTAAAAAAGATGTGTTAGTCAGCTTTCTGTCACTGTGACAAAACACCTGAGAAAAACAACTTAAAAGAGGGAAAATTTATTTTGGCTGTTTCAGTCCACTTATCTTCATCACAGGTGGGCTTGTGGTGAGTCAGGATGTCATGGTGAGGAGCACATGGTGAAGCAAAACTGCTCACTTCATGGTATCCAGGAAGCAGAGAGCTAAGAGACAAAATATCTCCTTCAAGGACATCCTCCCAGTAACCTGCTTCGTCCAACTAGGCCCTGCCTTCTACAGGTCATATCACCTCCTAATAGCACCACAGGTTGACAACCAAGTTTTTAGCACATGGCCTTTGGGGAAAATTTCACATGCAAACCAACAGGTCTTGAAATAGAAAATGGGTAACTAAGAGGTGATCCTGAGATGAATGTGCTTCCAATTTAGAAGCTGAATGGCCAGGATTGCATGCCAAAGAGCCATCTTTCTCTTTGCCTTCTAGCCTGATTTCCTCCTGTTAGACAGAAGCTCTGTATTGTAAGCCAGGCAGGATACTTGATGCTGAGAACCCCCTGCACCAGACTAAGAATTTTCTATAGAATTGCAACATTTGCTTTATTGATATAGGCAATCCAGTTCTGATTTTTTTCACTTTTTTTCTTTAGATTCAACTTGGACATCTGTCAGGATAGTTTCAGTAGGGTTTAACATTGTGTACAGTTTGGGGGAATTTTATGGTGTTTCCCATAGGGGGAAAATAGTCATGGGTAAAAAAAAAATGAGCCTTCCTGCATTACTGTTGACCTTTAACTCTTAGGAAGTGGAGCAAATCATTGTCATGAATTAGTTACTAAAGGTTGAGAGAAATGAATGACGTTTGACACTCAGATGGCAAGGTAAGGTCTCCCTGTCAGTGGGAAAGCTGGTTTGAGCCGGCCAGCTTTTCCTGGTATCTTCCACTTCACTGCATTCAGAAGCTCATTCAAAGATACTTCAGGTTTCCACTGAACAGTTAAACTACTGCCTCTCAATGGCATGGAATCCTTTGTGAGCAATTGTTGTTTGCTGTTGCTTTTACAGATAGGACTTTATTACTTACACTAATGCATGCAGAATATTCTGACTGGAGATCCAGTCAGTAGGCACAATGGTCCAGAAGAGAATATGAGAATCAGGCTTAGATTTAAAACAAAATAAAGTTTGCCTGTTGCAAAATAGAAGGCATGTACTCATATTCTCCTTCCTGCATCTTTTGATCAAGACCACCAATTCCAGCAAAAGTTACCTCTGAATTGCTTAGCACCTGGAGGGGAAACTGAATGTATAATGCATTTATTGGAATAAGTAAGTTAAACTGAGTGATAGAGGAAAATGCTCTTTGGGCCCTAGAAATAAATGTGGGGGAGAATAGATGAAAGTGACTGAATCTACCCCACATCAGAGGGTCTCTGTGCTTGCTCCAGAACCTATGGCTGGCATCTGTGTCTCCTCCTCTGAGATTGCCAAAACATTGCTTGGGTGAAGGGACAGTTGCCCTAAGAGGCAGTGTAGGTTCATCACCTCTTCAATAGTCATCAGTCTCCTTTTGTCTCTTTGTTTATTTTCACTGTTCAATATCACCATCTTCATTTCTATATTTGTATAAAATTCTTTATTCTATGTTTATCCAAAGTAGAAAAATGAGATCTACCCACTGTTACATAGTGCATTGTTTCCAGGCACTTAAAAACATTACAAAAGGAGATAAATTTTGTTGTTGCTTTCTCAGTAGCAAAGATAACCACAAAATCTGTTGACTTAGACAGAATTATGTAGTCCAAACTCTGTTTAGAGAGGATGGAGAAAGAAATAAAAGTAGAGGCCCCAAATATAATAGCTGGTCAGTAAGAGATCTGGAACCAGAACTAATTTTGGCCCAGCATGCTACAGACATTGATTCTTAAAGCTAAGGTTAATAATTCTATGCCATAATTACACTCTTCCCAGCAGACTTTAGCTTACATTTTATTTGCCTGCAGAACAACCAAAATAAGCCATTGGCTTCCACTTGAAGTATTAGGCCCATCCCTTTCTATGTCCTGGTTAGTCATATGTTGTTTCAGTCATTTTTTTTTTTCTGGTCACTGTGACCAAAAGACCTGACAAGAACAATGTAGAGGAGGAAAAATTTATTTTGGCTCATGGTTTCAAAGGTTCAGTCCCTGGTGGGCTGACTCCATTATCTCTGGGCCTATGGTGAGGCAGAATATCATGGTGGAAGGAAAAACAACAAGGTTGTTGCCGTGTCCTGAGCTGTTTTCCTCCACCATGATATTCTGCCTCACCCCAAGCCCAGAACAAATGGAGTCAGCCTACCATGGACTGAACCTTTGAAACTGAGCGAAAATAAACAACATAAAATTAGTCATCTGAACCATTTTTAAGCACACCATTCAAAAGTGTAAAATAAATTTAAATTATTGTGAAACATCTCTAGAACTTTTTTTTTTATCATGTACATCTGGAACTCTGTAGCCGTTATAATTCTCCACTTTCCTGTCCCTCAAGTTGCTGACAACCACCATTCTACTTTCTGTCCCTGAATTTGACCACTTTAGATACCTCAGATAAGTGGAGTAACACAATATTTGTCTTTTGTATGTGCCTTATTTGACTTAGCATTATGCCTTTAAGGTTCATCTGAGTTGGAGTATATATTAGAATTGTCTTTGTTTTTAAAGCTGACTATATTCTGTTGCAATGATAGATCACATCTTATCTATCCTTTCATCCACCAATGGACATTTAGATTGCTTTTTAAATT